GAAAAATTTTGCAGAAAATAGTACATAGCCGTTTTTAGGCGGGCATCCACTAATGTGATGACAAGGATGATCAGGTTTCCAGTAATGCTCAGCAGGTAGGTGATAAGTAGAAATACAAAAAGCAGAATCTGCAGGTGTGGGTCATCTGTCAATCCGAGAAGGATGAAAGTGATTATTGCTGTGTGATTTCTCATTCTGGCTTCTGACTTCTCAAGCTACGTGTAAAACAGAGGTAATGAGAGGAAGGAGAAAATACTATTGCTTTTGGATTGACATTGGTTAGCAAAATTGAGTAATTCCCATCTTAGACTCTTGTGTGACTACTTGTAAACACTATTTCTTTGATCTTTTAAAGTCATTCAATTGATTACAATCTTAGTTTTTAAAATAATGAGTATAACTTTACTAAGGAATAGCACTTACTTTTTTAAAAAATTTATTTATTAAATCACTGTGGGAAAAGTTACAAAGCTTTCAAGTTTAAGTCTCGATCATGTGATGATCAAACACGTTTCCCTTCAACAGTACTTATTTTTCACCAACAAGAACCCCAATATAAGCCCTCTCTCACCCTCCCAATGCCTGTGAGGCAGATGAATTCTAATTAAAACTCTATCTACTTTGATTAGATTCATTGTTTCGACAAAAGATGCGCCATTATTTTTTAGAGTTTACACCCTCAAATCAGACCTGCTGAGAAGACATTGTGAAATAATTTGTTTTCTACAACTGGTTACAAGAACAAAATGATGTTGCACAGCTGCAATAGCTGCTGCGCAATTTTGGATTTCTGATATTTTACTTATTAAGCCTGGAAGTATTTCTGCCGAGAGCCAGGTACATATGAGATTGATTTTAGTGGCTCTGGAGCCATGGCTCTGCTAGAGAGCAGCTCCTGAGGGGCAACTCGCAACCTCGGTAGGGCGTGAAGGATGATCCAGGAACGCCCCCTTCCCATGAGGTCTCAGTAGGAGTAGCTTTTATTTATGTGTAAATATGTGCTCTGCACAATAAACTGTAATTAACTGAAATCTTCATAAAATAACTAACATTCATTTTATTTTCTTGTTTTATTCACATTTTTTAAAACAGTTAACCTCTAACACTTCAACTGTCATGAATCCTTTGCAAGTATTCCTCATTAAAATATATATTAACATGAAATTAATGTTTTAGAGAAATGTTTAATTATCAGTAATTATAATAATCATATTATATAATTATAATTATGAATATCAATTAAATATAAAAAGACCATTTCCCACATTTTCAAGAATTGATTTCAAATTTTACTTTGTTCTTTATAATAAACTTATTCACATCATTTAATTTTCTGTAGGTGAAATGACATCAAAAACAGTAATATCTATTTTCTTCCCCAAACTTTTCTATATCAAAAAACTGAATTTTATTCTAGTTTCACTGCCAAGATTTCAAATATTTTTTCTTTTGTGCAAAAGATTTATCAAGTAAGAAGTTTTTTTTTAAATAAAAATAGTTTTGAAGACTCTGTTCTATTACAATTCATTTATAGTGGTCTACTTCAGGCAAGAACCAGTCAACCTGGTACTTTTATTTGCATCCTTCAAAGTTAGTCACAAAGAATTACACAAACACAGTCATTGTCCAAATAACATGGTATAGTGAACATCATTTCAAATAAACCCTATCTCATATTTAATTTGTTGTTTTTATTTGCCTAATTTTATCATTTCATTCATTTTTCTTTCTACTGGGATAAAGTATCAAGTTAGGTGACAAGTGGTAGAAAGAAACTTTAAAGTATATTATATTATGCCAGCCATTACATAGCTGGACCATCTGCTTGGGAAAATTTCTATTCACTCACTGTCCATTTACTTCCTTCTTACCCCATTCCAGTTTTTATTCTCATGGATGTTTGAAAATTCTGGTTACTTTCTCAGGTTTTCTTCTAGATTCTTCATAGGTGTCTTTATGACTCATCTTCATGACATTCAGTGCCTTGCCAAATATTTTGTCATATCCTTATCATGTTGTGGGAAAATTTTTTCTTTAATATTTCATCTTGTTAATGGCTCAAAAGATATAATCAGAAGCAAAAGTTAATTATAGGCATCAACCTATTTTCAAGTCAGATGAAGTGACTATATTTCAAAATTTTTTGGTCTTTAATTTGGAGGTCTACACATAGCAGTGCCCAAGGATCATTATAAGGGGAAGTCAGTAGAGAAATGAGCAGGTTTTGCTACCTTACCTGCTCCACTATCCCTGAAAGACTTGTTTTATAGGTTGCCTCAAAATTGAAACTTCCGATACTTTACAAATCCCAGAGAAATTACGTTTTTAAATTTAGTACAAAATTTTATTCAAGAGGTTGTTCCTAATCTTATCAAAATTGATCATGAGCCCAAAGAAATAGTACAAGTCTCTTGCTGAAGCCACATGTCCTCATGAGCAACTGCATGAGCTTGCTAGGCAGAGCCTCTTTTAAAAATCCACAAGTACATAAAAACAAAAAAAGAAAAAAATAGAAACTGAATGTCTGCTACAAATATGTGTGTGTGAGTATGAGTATCGCTCTATCTATATGTATGCATTTGTTCATCGGGTGTCTATATTATTCTTAAATACTGCAAAATAATATTGAAATACTCAGCATATCTTCATGTTCTCCTTTTAGTCTCACGGTAGCACTGTCCTCCCTTTATTCATCGATTTGCTCAAGCGAGCCCAGTAACATTGTACATTGTACTGTGTTTGGCATGTCAAATGCATCACAGGTAGCTTGCCCGGCTTTGCCGGGCGGGTGAGATACTCTCAGTACCTTGCTGGGTTTTCCGAGAGGGGCGGAGGAATTGAACTCAGGTTGGCCAGGTTAGCCGCCTGCAAGGCAAACACCCCACCCACTCTGCTAACGCTCCAGCCCCTACTTTTAGTTGACTAAAAATATGATAATCTTTCAATAGCCCCAGACATGATTTATACTATCATTCATTTTATAGAGAAAAGTGTCTTTGAGCTAGTTATTACTTATTTACTTATTACTTATTTACTTTATGTACTGTAAAAATTCCTAAACTTTTCCTCAATGTCACATTTAGACTGAAGTAATTTTAGAAAAGCAATCTCGATGAAGAGATGAAGAGTAATATTCTTATGTTTGATTTTCCAATGTTATAATGAGATTAATGAAATATTTCCAACACTTGCACATAATGTTTGAAGAAAGTGCTAATTGAGGACAAAGTCTCTATCTCAGAGACATTATAACATATCTTTATCAGAAGATAAGAGATTTGAAAAATGTTTTGTATAATTGACGGATTCTAAAAGGGCATCTATCATGATGGCTCTTTACCAACTTCTACTTTCCTGGTGCCAAAATAAATAACAAAGGAAAAACTAAAATTCCAGATTTAGGTGCTGGAGCGATAGCACAGCGGATAGGGCATTTGCCTTGCACTTGGCCGACCTGGGTTCGATTCCCAGCATCCCATATGTTCCCCTGAGCACCACCAGGAGTAATTCCTGACTTCAGAGCCAGGAATAACCCCGGTGCATAGCCAGGTGTGACCCAAAAAGAAAAAAATATTCCAGATTAATTACTCTTGCACATATTTAAGCAAAATAGAACAGAAAAAATACCAGTATCCTAAACATACAGAAAAATTCTTCAAAAAAATCAGAGAATTTTCCTTTTCTTTAAAACTTGTAAAAAATTAGAATTATCTATTTTTTTAGACCAGCAAAAAAAGGATAGTTTTAGAATTTCTTGAGTGAAATTCCCTTTGCTGAACTTTCAATTCTAAATAATCTCTTCAATTATCCTCTTTGATTATTCTTTTTCTGTCAAATTGATATGGGGAATGAAAAATCATAAATTTTCTCATAGCAATCTGTGATTATATTTTAATATTATAATCTACTGCAGAATATAATATAAAATAGAAATACACAGAATTAAAACAGATTTCATGTATCACAGAAAGTTGACAAACCTTAATACTCTTTCTTATAAACTTTTCTAGAAAGCTTAAAGATATTCAAGTGCATTTCTAAGGTTGATAAATCTGAAATCCTAGGTTAACTTTTGGAAGATTCCTCAACATCTATTTGGTAAAACTCTTCAAGTTTGACTGTAATACACAGATTTATTAGCTTATAGTAAGTTAAATCTTCGACTCATTTTTTTTTTATTTTCCACCATCATCTCTTCCTATTTTCTCTGTAAATTACTCTGAAACGTAAGCTAATGAAACCAAACACTAAACAGAGGTCAAACTGATCAGTGAGTTTATTTTCTTGCATTTTCCACCAAGCAGGTGAATTTTGAAGACTACAAATTCTTCGTGTCTCACCTTAATAAAATATTCATCAGCAGGAGCTCTTCAGTTTTTATATGAGGGAAATGGTATGAGTGTTACTTTTAAACCATTACTATGCGATGAAAACAGTGAAAATACTTATAATGATGAATAAGAATGCAAATGTTTATTTTTATTCCATATGCACAGAGAAATGAATCTCCCACTGCAAACTACTACTAGTCTATTTCAAAATATATATATATATATATATTTACTCCATATCATACCCACAGAGAAATAAAATGCTGATTTTCTCCAAATCCATATGCATGGATTATTCAGGTTTATGTTTCCTATCAAGAGTAAAAAATCACCGTTGACAGCAGTGATTTTCAACACATAAAATTTACCGTTGATCTTCAAGGAGAATGATTTTTAACTCTACAATGGAAGGGAAACTATCCATCTAATAATCGGGAGCTTTTTAATTAGAATTGCACTGCAACTGAAACTCACTAAACAAATTGAAGAAATTCTGATGTACTCAGGATATCATTTTTTATACTAATATAGAGTAAAGTAAGTAAAGGCCCTCCCGTTGATCATCGATTTGCTCGAGCGGGCCCAGTAACGTCTCCATTGGAGACTTTGGTGTTACTGTTTCTGGCATATCGAATACTCTCGGTAGCTTCCCGGGCTCTCTGAGCACATATACTTCGGCAGCACATATACTAAAATTGGAACGATACAGAGAAGATTAGCATGGCCCCTGCGCAAGGATGACACGCAAATATAGAGTATAGGGTTCTTAATTACTTATGGTTTTTAACACTTTCCCTCTACAATATCTAGATCTAGATATTAATGGATATTGATATAGTAAAAGAATTCACATTCAAATTCTACTTTATGTAATCCTATTGACATTTACATGTATCATTATCCAGAATACTGTAGGTAAATTTGATTCTACTTAAATATAGTAGAGATGACCTTAATATAAGTAAAATGTGATTTTTGAAAATTATATCATGAACCAGACCACTTCTGAATATCTATAAAATCTCTGCTAGCAGTGAGCTTTCTTTAATTTACTTAAAAATATGCTTCGGATTGTACCATCATTGTATATGACCAGTGCAAATGCAACTATAAAAGACAAAAGGAGTAATCAGGAATTAACATGAATATTTCCTAATGAATTTATATAATATATTCAAAAATCTGATAAATCATATATCAATTTTCTAGAATGAAAAGCAATAATAATTAGTATATGTTCTGATGATGTAATTTTTTTATAAAACATGAAAATCTATGTATTGAGATTAAGAAAATAGATTACCTAATTAAAAGTACAGATAACAAAATACAAACATACTTACACTTATCTCAGACAATGCAACTTTTAGTTGAATAGATTATCCTGATAGCATCAGTGTATTTATATGATCCCCTCACTTGGAGCTTTCCATGTTACCACACCACTTTGGGAGGTACCATCAGAATTTCCATTAACTGTTAAGATACACAGTAGCTCTTAATCTTCCGTTTCACTTTAAAGCTAAAAAACAGTTTCTGAAAATTCAGTTTGCCCAAAAACTGTTTTTTTTTAAAAAAAAAACTGACAAAAGTTGATTTTGAAATGAATCAGAAACAGGTATGTTCTGATGTCTCTGGACAACAAATTTAAAACAATGGAATAAGATAATGTTTTCTGATGACAGTCTTGTGGATGTGCTGGACTCTCTGTGGATAAACCAAGGGTCCTTTGTGTCCAAAGTTGAACATGAATTTACAAGCTAATACAGCTTACGAAATGAAACTAATGAACTTACTTTAGACAAAGGCCATCAGAGGCGTCACTGGAATCCATATCTTTGGGGACAAAAATAATAACTTCAGTAATCTCTTAGCAAGTGCTTAGACTTAGCTGATGTGAAAAAAAAAAAAAAACAATTCCAGGACTGGAGCTATGGCACAGCTGGTAGGGCATTTGCCTTGCACACGAAGGACTTGGGTTCCATTCCCAGCATCACATATGGTCCCCTGAGCACGCCAGGAGTAATTCCTGAGTGCAGAAGCCAGAAGTACTTCCTGTGCATCGCCAACCCCTGTACATCGCCAGGTGTGACCATTACTCCACCCCCAGGAAAAAAATTCTAGGAATTCTTAAAATCAGATAATAAAGGGAAGAAGAAGCCAGAAGTGGCCTTCCCGATTTCTAGTGTGAAAACCCAGATGATCCATGAAGCACCATCAGGTGTGCTCTCTGAACCAGAAGTAATCCCTGAACAACCCTCAGGCGTGGACCTCCTCCAAACCCAATGATTCTGAAAAGAATACATCTGCGTTTTCGAGAGGAAGGATATATTTTAAAATGCTATACATATTTAACATAAAGTATACTTTGAAATGTCTATACAAATAAATATACTTTTGTATAAAAACTTTCCATATAGCATAGTGTACATTGTAAGAATTAGTGAATGCTAGAAAAATGGTAACTACTAGTCTATGGATATCTATGGACAAAAATACTCTAGCAAATATAAAGTGTTCAAATATTGAAATTAAGCCAGTAATGGTACTGTACTTATTAATGTTACTGTTATTTTAGAAACATTCAAGTAAATACACAGTAAGATGCACTCATGTAGATATATGGAAATTTTACTATGCAAACTCTTACCTAGCACTATTATTATTAAGGAGATAGATGCAGAAGCATTTGATATAAAATAGGAATATAAATTGTACTTTTTAACCTATTAAGTCCTTAAATATCTTTTATTATAAGATACTCAACAATCCAAGCTGCTAGCTCATTTGTAATAGACTGAAATCAAAAATATTCTTTTCCATATAAAAAAGAAAAGAAACATTAATTATGTGCATAAGTAATAACTTTAAAATTAAGAATTTAAAAAAGGAATGCTAGTGGGTATTATAGAAGTTAGGCGGATTTATCAATAATACTGATTACAATTTAAACCATCACTTAAGGTAATTTTATATCTTAGTAATTATCAGTGAAAGGGCACAGAATTTATTAAATGCAGCTAAGTCTATGTTTCTCATTTTCTAATAAGTTACTCATGACGTAAGCTGAGGAGAAATGTACCTGATAAGAAGAGCTTATTCAATTTATCTTTCGATTTTAAGTCGTATTTTTGTTGTTAATTAGTGTATTGTTCATGCCTTGAGTAATAACCCTTTAAAAACAATATTATACACACATCTTCTCCCACTGAATAAATTGTTTTTCCATCCTTTTATTTTCATTTTCAAAGGTACTTCAGCTTATTATAGTAATTATCAGTATTTTGCTAACATTAATTTTTTTTTATTTCGAAGTAACTGGTCAGAGGTTTCATAGTAAAGTTTAACGCTATTTCATGAAGTGTTATCATAAGTACTCCTTGGTTTCTAGATGATATAAATTTTTAGCTATTTCAAAAGTTTTATGTTTCATTTTCACCCTTCTATTTTCCAGTCCATATTTGTGAAAGAGTTTTTCTTTCTCCAGTGTATACTCTTAGATAGTTAGTCAAGGATAAAACATTGAAGAATTTTGGGCTAATTTTTGATATTTCAATTCTATTCATTGATTTTTGTGTCCGTTTTTGTATTTTACATCACGGGAAGCTAGCCAGGCTCTGCCATGCAGGCAAGATACTCTCGGTAGCTTACCTGGCTCTCCAAGAGGGGCGGAGGAATCGAAGCAGGTCGCCATGTTGGCTGCATGCAAGGCAAAAACCCTACCGCTGTGCTATCGCTCCAGCCCAAGGTCCCTAGATAGTACAGTAAATAAGATGTTCTGACACATATTTGATTCCTAGCAGAACATGGTCACCTGAACATTGACAGATTCAGCCCTGGAAGCCCAAGTCACTTGTCTATGGATAATAAGAATTGCATCTGTTATCTCTTGAATTGAACCACCAGGATTATGGACTCTGGTGGGGTCGCTGAGTTCCTTGAGCCTCGCTTGGCCTCCCCCATTCCCGATTATACTTCATTGAAAAGTGGGTTTATGTTATGTACTAAAACATAAAATGCCCTCTTCCTGTTCGCCACCATAACTGTCCCAGTCTTATTTCTCCCCCAGATCAGTAAGCCCGTCAGTATTCAAACCTGGGACTCCGCATACGTGCACTAGGCGTCCTCTAGGACCTGGGACGCTCACCATTCCTGAACCACTTCCTGTTCGCCCCCAACGCTGTGCCAGTCTTCTTCCATGCCCAGGGTGTACCCCCCAAACACACCAAGTACCCGAAGGGGGCGTGGCCTCGCCAGAAGTGGGTGTGGTTTTGGCAGAAGTGGTGTGGACTAGTTTTTGACTGTGGGCACTCAAACGGTCACAGTACATTACCCAGACCCAGCATTCTTGTGTGTCATCTGAGTAACCATAAATCCCCACCAATATGAAGAAACAAAGCAAATCCCCACCAAGAGGGGGGACAAAAAAAGAGTCCAGAAGCCTCAAAAGGTGCTACTCACCTAAGGGAACTCTCTGAGAAAGAATTCAGATATGAGGTAATGGAGATATTCAATGAACTCAATAAAACAGTGAGACAGATATCCTGTCAATTAAAGGAGGTCATGAATCAAAACAATGGATGGACAATCGAGAAAATTCAGGAAGGAATAAGAGCAGAAATTGGAAAGCTACACACAGAAATGTCAAGAATAAAAGATTCCGTAGATGAAATAAAAATCTCAGTCTATGCCATCAACAGTAGATTGGCCGCAGCTGAAGACACAATCAGTGACCTGGAAGATCAGCTGCACCAAGCCAACAGGCAACAACAAACAATGGCAGGAGACCTCAAAATTGCTGTAGGGAGAATCAGAGTCCTAGGAGATGATTCTAAGAGGAACAACATTAGAATCATTGGAGTACCAGAAGGTCAGGGAAACAATCTCAATGAAAAAGCCACAGTCAAACAAATCATTGCTAAAAAATTCCCAGAGCTCAAAAATGCAGTCATTCAGAATCAAGAAGCCTGAAGGTTGCCAGATAAAAGAGACCCTAACAAAAACACTCCAGACATATAGTTAGAATGATGGATGCCACAAATAGTGACACAATACTGCAAGCAACAAAGTCAAAGAAGGAAAACACATACAAAGGAGCACCCTTTCTATTCACAGCAGGTCTCTTAGAGGAAACCCTCCAAGCCCGAAAGCAATGGTGGGCTATAGAGAAAAACTCACTGAAATGAACGCTTCACCAAGAATACTCTATTCTGCTAAACTCTCACTGAAACTTGAAGGAACAGTACCCAGTGTTGTGGATAAACAACAGCTCAGAAACATCATAGACTCAAAACACAATAGTAGCCATAGATTTCAATATTGCCTTATCACTGCTAGATAGATCAACAATAGCAAAACTAAGCAAGGAAAAATTGATTTCAAAGGAAGAAATAGAAGAGAGAGGGCTTATAGACCTATAGGGGGCTTTTCACCCCCCAAACAAAGAATGAACATTCTTCTCCAATGCACAAGGAACATTTTCCAAAATAGACCATGTGCTAGAACACAAAACATACCTCAATAAAACCAGGAAGATAGAAATCAGGAAGAGTGTTGATACTTCAACAATCTTTTCAGACCACAATGCACAGAGAATAAAAGTGAATCACACACAGACATGGAAAACCAAATCAAAGACATGGAAATTAAACAACTCTATGTTGAACAAGGAGTGGGTCAGGAAGGAAGTCAAGGGCTAAAACAAAAGATACCTGGAAAGAAATGAGAATGAAGATGAGCTACCAGAACATACGGGATGCAGCTAAAGCCTTGTTAAGGGGAAAATGTATAGCTCTGCAAGCATTTATCAGGAAGGAAGAAAGGGCCCACATAAACAACTTGACTTCACAACTCAAGATCTTAGATACGAACCAACGAAAGGACCCCAAACCGGGTAGAAGAAAATAGATCATAAAACTTAAAGCAGAAACCAACGACATGGAAACAGGTAAAACAATCCGAAAGATCAATGAAACCAAATGCTTGTTTGTAGTTTATAATAAAAAATAAACAAATAAATAGAAGAAATTATCAACGGAGACATTATTATTCTCATTAGGCAAATACTGTCAGATGATTGGAACAAAAAAATTGTAATAAAATAAAAAGTATAAAATGCAAAAATTTTAATTAAGCAAATGGAAAATATAGTGAGTCATCAAGAGCAGTTGTAAATTTTGTAGATAAAGTTTATTTAAAGATTTTCATAGCAAAATTTCCATACCAAAGTACCCCAGAATTAAAAAGAGGGATGGGTACTTGATTATTCTATAACTGAAACCCAAGCACAAATATTTGTAACTCTACAACTGTACCTCAAAAATAAATATAGTCATCCATCTCGTCTCCAGCATGCTCCTCTTTATCTTTGCAATTAAGAAATTATTTATTATATAATCAAATATATTATTTACATAATTACCATTAAAATGAGTCTCAAGTTTAATTGTATTAGTTAAATTAGGCCTTTTCTGGGTGTTGGGAGAATCTTTCCATTCTGAAAGTAGACTACAGACTAAACACGGTTGCCACTCAATGCCTCTTTTGCAAAACACAACACCCAAAAGGAGAGAGAGAACAAAAGAGAATACCCTGACACAGAGGCAGGGTGGGATGGGGGGATGGGTTGTGGGAGGGATACTGGGACCCGTGGTGGTGGAAAATGGGCACTGGTTGAGGGATGGATCATTGTACAATTGAAACCCAAGCACAAAAATTTGTAAATCTACAACTGTACCTCATGGTGTTTCACTAACAAAAATTTTAAAAAAATGTAAATTATGGAGAATGGGCACTGGTGGATGGATGGTACTTGATCATTGGGTAACTGAAACCCAAGCACAAAAATTTGTAAGTATACAACTATACCTCATGGTGTTTCACTAATAAAAATTAAAAAAAAAAACTTAGGCCCTTCCTAATGAAAGTTTTAATATAATTTCCCAAATAAAATCAGCTTGCTTCTAAAATCATGGATAAATAAATGTAAGAAATTGTAAATTATTTAAGTGTACACAATTTTTCATCTTAACTTCAATAGCCGGCATCCCATATGGTACCGCAGTACCTGCCAGGAGAGATCCCTGAGCACAGAGTCAGAAATAAATCCTGAATATCACCGGGTGTGTCCCACAAATTAGAAAAAAAGAAATATTTCATCAAACACTTTTAAACTATATTTTATACCTATGAAAATACTATTAAGAAAATATTAAATTAAATTCTAGATATTAGACATCATCCTTTTCTTTTTGACTTTTTGGTCGTCCCACCAATGCTGCAGGTTTAGTCCTTGCTCAGCACTCAAAAATTAGTACTGTGTGTACTCGAGGGTTCCATGGGATACCAAGGATTGAACCTGGGTCAGGTGAATGCAAAACAAATGCATTACCCATTATTCTATCATGCCTCCAGCCCCTCAGACATCTTGCTTAGTACAGTTTTAGTCTTACTTTTAAAGCTGCACAAAACTATCTCTCAAATCTTTTATTTAAAACTCACTGTTATATTCATTTATTTTATATCATAAGTTTAATGTCTTATAATTAATTATGTCTTTTTATATGTGGATATAATCTAGAGTTCTATAATTATTCCAATTTTATATCTGAAAGAAATATATCTGTTTATGTAAATAGATATAGATATATATGGAAATAAATAACATGATAAAACTGGGTATATAATCATTTACATATATAGTAATGTCAGATACAAATATCTGGAGGGTAGATTACTCATTCTTAAATACTTTTTTCTCATGTTCTATTGTTTTTTTAAAATCTTGTGTTTGTCTATGAGGAAGAGTACATCTGATTATATCAAACTTGGTATCAATGTGAACAGTATAAAAGGAAGTAAAAGTAAAATAAAACAAAACATGTTTATACACAGTCATGGCAGCATATGCCTAATTCCTAGAGAGCAGAAGTTTTTTCCCTAAATCATTCAAGGCTTGAATGACTTGTTTGTTTCTCAGGGTATAAATAAATGGGCTTATCGTAGGTGATATGGAAGTAGCTAACAAAGTAATCCCTTTGTTAATTCTCATTACATCTTTTCCTGTAGGTTTCACATAGATAAAGATAAGACTGCCATAAGTTATGGAAACCACAATCATGTGAGAGGAACAGGTAGAAAATGCCTTTTTCCTTTGCTGAGCAGAGGGGAATCGAAAAATAGTTTGAATGATACTAATGTAGGACCAAGCCACAAACATGAGAGTAGCAAAGAGTAAAAATACAGCATAGATAATAATCAACTTCTGTATAAATTGTGTGTCTGAGCATGATATCGTTATAATAGCATCAACATCACAAGCAAAGTGATCGAGGGCATTATTATCACAAAACTCTAGTCCCATTACCACGCTAACAAGTGGAATTAACAACAACAGTGTAATCACCCAGCAGCAGAAAAGAAGTCTTCTGCAGACCCGATGATTCATAATAGTCATGTAATGAAGAGGTTTACAGATGGCGACATATCGATCATAGGACATAGTGGCCAGGAGGAAAAATTCTGTTAGACCAAATAGACATACAAAAAACAATTGAAATGCACACGCATAATAGGTAATTGTTTTATCACCTGTTGATATACTGTATAAAAATCTAGGAATAGCAACAGAAGTGAATAAAATCTCCAAGATGGAAAAATTTTGCAGAAAATAGTACATAGCCGTTTTTAGGCGGGCATCCACTAATGTGATGACAAGGATGATCAGGTTTCCAGTAATGCTCAGCAGGTAGGTGATAAGTAGAAATATAAAAAGCAGAATCTGCAAGTGTGGGTCATCTGTCAATCCGAGAAGGATGAAAGTGATTATTGCTGTGTGATTTCTCATTCTGGCTTCTGACTTCTCAAGCTATGTGTAAAACAGAGGTAATGAGAGGAAGGAGAAAATACTATTCCTTTTGGATCGACATTGGTTAGAAAAATTGAGTAATTCCCATCTTTGACTCTTTGGTGACTACTTGCAAACATTAATTTTTTTGATTTTTAGTGTCATTCAATGATTACAATCTTAGTTTTTAAAATAAGGAGTAAAAATTGAAATAGGTGTAGCACCTACTTATGCATAAGTATGTGCTCTGCATAATAAACTACAATTAACTGAAATCTTCATAAAAAGACTAACATTCATTTTATTTTTCTTGTTTTATTCACATTTTTTAAAACAGTTACCCTCTAACACTTCAACTGTTATGAATCCTTTGCAAGTATACCTCATTAAAATATATATTAACATGAAATTAATGTTATGATCTCTTAGAGAAAATATTATTTGAAAAACAAAATCATCTTAGATTTTTTAATTATCAGTAATTATAATTATCATATTATATAATTATAATTATGAATAATATCAATTAAGTATAAAAAGACCATTTGCCACATTTTCATAAATTTATTTCAAATTTTACACTGTTCTTTATAATAAACTGATTCACATCGTTTAATTTTCTGTAGGTGAAATGACATCAAAAACAGTAATATCTATTTTCTTCCCCAAACTTCTCTATATCAAAAAACTGAATTTTATTCTAGTTTCATTGCCAAGATTTCAAATATTTTTCTTTCCTGCAAAAGATTTATCACATAAGATTGTTTCTTAAGGAGCTGGAGCGTTAGCACAGCGGGTAGGGCATTTGCCTTGCACGCGGCCAACACAGGTTCAATTCACAGCATCCCATATGGTCCCCTGAGCAGCGCCAGGAGTAACTCCTGAGTGCAGAGCCAGGAATAACCCCTGTGCATTGCCGGGTGTCATCAGAAAAAAAAAAAAAAAGAATGTTTCTTCAAAATAAAAATAGTTTTGAAGACTCTGTTCTACTACAATTCATTTATAGAGGTCTACTTCAGGCAGTACTCACTTGAACCAGTAAACCTGGTACTTCTATTTCCATCCTGCAAAGTTAGTCACAAAGAATTAGACAAACACAGTCATTGTCCAAACAACATGGTGTACTGAATACTCCCAAACAAGAGGCTGGTTGGCTGTTTGTTAGTATAACATCAACTTACTCCAGGTTCTAGCTACCTCGGTCACTGTTTATGAGTTAATATTCTCTATTAAGAAGAAAGGCTAAAATATTTACATGATGATCACATAGGTAATAGATAATAAGCAAATACATTTAATATTAAAGTTATTGAAGTTATGGCATTGAAGCCATTGAAGTTATGGCAACCTCCTGTTCGGTCCTTGCAGGATGTTTCATGTTTAGCTGCACATTTGCAACTCCCAGTGTTTAAATTCGGCTAAACTTATTTTAGCCGGGAGTTTGTCCCAACACTTCGCTTTTATTAGTGGGACGGTTTCTCACTGTGTACCATTATATACCATTATCAAATGGTTCCATGTTACCTATGAAATTTTGGAATGATTATGACTCTTTGTTTTTTTAATAGCCCACCTTGTTCCTCTTAAGTAAACATGCATAGATCAAATCACAAATACATAAGACAAAGTACTGAATCAGCGGACTGCTGAAAATACATTCTTATTATTCAGTTGCTTTTTATGAAGCTAGTCAAAAGATATTGCTTCAATTTATCAAGTCTTCTGTATTATCAAGCCTTAGTCGATCCAGGTTCATTTCCCAGCACCACATATGATTTCCTGAATAATGCTAGTTGTGGTTTCTGAGCATAGAGCTATGGGAACATGCTGAGTTCTTCTGGATATGGACCCTAAATTAAAATATATATTTACTGATAGGCAGGTAGAGAAACAGTTCCTATTAGGTGACATGTTGATGGTTAAAGATATCTTGATGGCTAAAAACTTTTTTCTTTGCCATTTCTTTACTATGATTTGACACCTACATTACAACATTCGGGAATTTTATGTTTCATGAAATCTGTGTTCTTGGGTTTTCTTTAATGCTTCTTATCCATCCACACTAGGATTCCCTTTGCCTTTTCATAGTACTCTATATGACAGTTGTATTCCTCAGATTTTGTCTCTATTTTTTCTACTCTGCTTATCTATGCACACTCAATGAACATTACTTAAAATCGTGAATTCAGTTTTGAATTCAGAATTTGATTAATAATCACTGTGATCATTAATCACTTGTAGATTTCATAATTTATTAAATTTTACATGTACAGTATACAATATTACCTCCTACATGCAAATATAATTTCTTCTCATTTATTGCTAGATATACTAAAAGTCAATGCTAACATTTATTGCCTATTGATCTATATTCACAATTGAAAGCAATCTGTATTGTTTTTGACATATATCTATCTTGAACATTGTTTCAAATAAACTATTTCATATTTAATTTGTTGTTTTCATATGCCTAATTTGACCATTTTATTCAGTTTTTCTACTGGAGTAAAGTAAAAATTTGGTGACAAGTTGTAGAAACTAACTTTAAAAAATATTATATTATGCCAGCCATTACATACAGAGATGGACCATCTGCTTGGGAAAATTTCTATTCACTCACTGTCCATTTACTTTCTTCTTACCCCATTCCAGTTTTTATTCTCATGGATGTTTGACAATTTTGGTTACTTTCTAGGGTTTTCTTCTAGATTCTTCATAGGTGTCTTTATGACTCATCATCATGACATTCGGTACCTTGCCAAACATTTTGTCATATCCTTATCATGTTGTGGGAAAAAACATTTTCTTAATATTTTATCTTGTTAATAGCATAAAAGATATAATCAGAAGCAAAAGTTAATTATAGGCATCAACGTATTTTCATGTCAGATGAAACGACTACATTTCCTCATTCTTTGGTCCTTAATTTGGAGGTCTGCACATAGCAATGCCAAAGGATCATTATCAGGGGAAATCAGTAGAGAAACGAGTAGGTTTTGCTCTTACCTTCTCCACTATGCCTGAAATATTTTTTTTATAGGTTGCCTCAAAATTGAAACTTCCGATACTTTACAAATCCCAGAGAAATTACCTTTTTAAATTTAGTAAAAAATTTTATTCAAGAGGTTGTTCCTAATCTTATCAAAATTGATCATGAGCCCAAAGAAATAGTGCAAGTCTCTTGCTGAAGCCACATGACCTCATGAGCGACTGCGTGAGCTTGCTAGGCATAGCCTCTTTTAAAAATCCACAAGTAGACAAAAACAAAAAAAGTTAAAATTAGAAACTGAGTGTCTGCTACAAATATGTGTCTGTGAGTATGTGTATCTCTCTATATGTATGCATGTGTTAATTGGGTGTCTATATTATTCTTAAATACTGCAAAATAATATTGAAATACTCAGTATGTCTTCAAGTTCTCCTTTTAGATGCACTGTAGCCCTATCCTTCCTTTATTCATCGATTTGCTGGAGCGGGACAAGTAACATTGTAAGACTAGTTGTTACAGTGTTTGGCATATCAAATACATCACTGGTAGCTTGCCAGGCTTGGTCAGGCGGGTGAGATACAATTGGTAGCTTGCTGGGTTTTCCAAGAGGAGCAGAGGAATTGAACTGGGGTTGGCCAGGTCGACCGCATGTAAGGCAAACACGCCACCCACTGTGCTATCGCTCCAGCCCCTACTTTTAGTTAACTAAAAATATGATAATCATTCAGTAGCCCGAGATATAATTTATACTATTATTCATTTTATAGAGAAAAGTGTCTGTGAGCTAGTTATTACTTATTTACTTTATGTATTATAAAAGTTTCTAAACTTCTTTCTCAATCTCACATTTAATTACACAAGTAATTTTACAAAAGTAATCTCGGTGAAGAGATGAAAAGTAATATTCTTATGTTTGATTTTCCAATGTTATAATGAGACTAATGAAATATTTCCAACACTTGCACATGATGTTTGAAGAAATGCTAATTGAGGACAATGTCTCAATTCTCAGAGACATTAAGACATATATTTATCAGAAGATAAGAGATTTGAAAAATGTTTTGTATAATTGATTCTAAAAGGGCATCTACCATGATGGTTCTTTACCAACTTCTACTTACCTGGTGGCAAAATAAATAACCAAGAAAAAATTAAATTTCTAGATTTAGGGCAGGAGCGATAGCACATAGGGTAGGGAGTTTGTTTGCCTTGCACATGGCCGAATGGTTTCGATTCCCAGCATCCCATATAGTCCCCTGAGCACCGCCAGGAGTAATTCCTGAGTGCAGAGCCAGGACTAACCCCGGTGCATAGCCGGGCATGACCGCAAAAAAAGAATACTCCAGATTTATTACTCTTGCATATATTTAAGCAAAATAAAACAGAAAATATACCAGTATCCTAAACATACAGAAAAATTCTTCAAAAAAATCAGAGAATTTTTCTTTCTTCAAAACATGTACAAAATTAGAATTATCTATTTTTTAGACCTGCAAAAAATGGACATTTTTAGAATTTCTTGAGTGAAATTCCCTTTACTGAACTTTCAATTCTAAATAATCTTTCCAATTATCCTCTTTTATTTTTCTTCTTCTGTCAAATTGATGTGCAGAATGAAAAAGAGTAAATTTTCTCATAACAATCTGTGATTATAATTTAATATTAT